GGAACGTAATATAATTAAGTGTATAATAATGAGCTAAACTCAATTGAGCAGTAAATACATTTGCTCATTTTGTAATATATAGTAAATATTAAAATATTTTCTAAAAGCTAATATAAAACTGAGCAATTTTTTACAGCATTATTGTTCTCGTACACCGACAGTCCATATAAAGTATTAATCGCAGATTATTCAATATCTAGCTGGATATCTTGCAGTGGAATTCTATAAAATGAGAAAATCTTTGTTATGTCTACTCGTTATATATATTTTTGTTAATTTAAGTGCAATATGACTGTTGTCGAACAACTAACGGAGTTTCCTACACCATGTGCTTCACTTTTATTTATTTAAAGCATTTTTATTTTATTCAATGCTCAATCATTATGCATTTTGGAGAATATCACACCTGACTGAAATACTACTAATAATCATTAATACCACCAAAAAATTATATCAGAACCCCTTCGACCAAAGTACTCCATAAAGAAAAAAAACCATAAATCAATCTTAATCAACAGGACATTAGATTGGATTACGCGTGACTAACGGCAACGGTGGCGCACGTGGATTATTTGGATCTTCACTTGGACAAAACCGTACACCTTCAAGCGGTCCATTTCTCAGAGTAATATCGTTGATTGAAGAAATAAAAAGACGCACAATCTTATAGGCGATTTCGTGGCACAAAAGATGTCCGAGATGTAGCTGGCGTTACCATCAGGCTGTCCGATCGGGCTTCTCCGCATTGCTGCGCGCTGATACTCGTTTACAGCGCAGAAGATAAAGAATACTATACAGTAGTTCTGCTTTCATTCGACAGAGTGGGTGGTTGCCGGAGACAGTGTTTTCAGAACTACGGATTAATCCGTAGATTTACGAATTTTGGGTACACTACGTAAATAATACGGATTTTCTATCATTAAAATCTAAGAGTTTCCATCGCATGACGGGCTTATAGTCCATTGCGGGCTATATAATTGTAATGATAAAGAAATAGGATTAAACCTAATTTTAATGAAGATATTATATATTGCTTTATGTTTCAACTATTCTTTTACATGAAATAAAAAATTCTGAAGAATAGAAATGTTTTGTTATATTTAGAATATTGTATTTTTGTTGTTTACTCCATGTTTAACACGATTAAATTTTTAATACATAAACGCGGATTTTTCATCGAATGTTATTTTCGTCAAACCTATTACAGATATTACATATTTTAATCTGGCAACACTGTCGCTTTCAGTTTCACACCGTCTTTGATATACCTTCGCTAGCCGAATTAAAAGGAATGAGTGTTTTATGCGTTGGCCGCAGAACGACTGGTGGCTCCACCGTATAGCACTTGGGGGAAAATCAAATCAGCCTAGTCAAGAATTCGCCCATTAGGTTGCGTATCTTCCCAATTCTTTCAATCAACGGTATTATATAGAATATTATACGGTAATATATAGAATTATATACATATAGAATTTCAATATCTCGCCGGATTTTTTCAGAGAATGATTGTTGTTGATCAAATCAATAAAGTACAAATCGAAGTTTTGGAATGTTTTGGAGAATTATGTGTGCGTAAAATACTGTATGATCGAATAAAAACGTCAAAGACGGCTGGGGAATCACAATCGCTGACAATTTTGGCGAGGTTAATCTCTAGACGTCATTTACTAAAACATGTCTAAAATTGGCACTAATTATAGGAATATTAAAAAAGGATACAAACTTTCCAGACACAAATTTATTTCCAAAAAAATATTTTTTTTGAATTTCAAACTAGGTACATCATTTCAAAATCATTTATAGTCAATATAAATATAAATTACAACCTTTTTGAGGCCAACTGGCAGTTAACTCCATTAAAAGATAAACAAGAATACGGGCTAAGTAAATGGCGTCTAGAGCTTGACCTCGCTAAAATTATCATCGATTGTCATTACACAGCCGTCTTTGACGCAGTTTTTTCGATCGTATGGTATTTCAAAGCACACACATTTTCAACTCGAACTACTCAAGTATTTATTATAAGTGACACGAATTCTAGTGGATATGGGTCAGGTCTCTATGGATATACCGGTCAGGTTAAATGACAAATATGGAACTTTTTGAAGAAGAAGAAATAATTTCTTCGACTTGATTTTCTTTGTCCGTTTCCATGTCAGGAACACTTTAGCGTTGAATTAACTCGTTGGGTATGCATGATAGGTCGCAATTCGTTTTCGTCTAACGGCCATCTGAAGTCAGTAGGGGATAACCGTTTTGTTAATAAACGAATTTAATCATTATCATGCAAAAAATAAATATCAGTCATAAAAAAACCTCCCCCCAAAAGAAAAACACGCGGGATTTTACATATTGACCAGACTATTAGTTTGTGCAGTTCAAAAATTTCGTTTGAATAAAATCCGTTTCGTTTTCATTGTTAATTGAGCATTACCCTGGTTTTAGATAGTTGTGGCATTTGTAGGTTAATGTAACGTCACAATTGGTTTATTAGGTTGTTTCTCGAGTGTGTATTTAATTGTTAGGTGAGTTTTATAAGATAGTTTAATATTGGTGAAGTTCGGTTTGTGCAAATCAGTTTGCGCAAATTAACTGATAAGTCATAATATGCAATCTTTCGAAAATATGCAGAGATATCCAGCTGTGTATTAAATAAACTGTGTTATACATACAGATATTAATAAATTTACAAAAAAATAAAGATAATACATATAAAAATATAATTACAAAGTTCAGTTTGTTTAAGAGATGTTATTTATAATGATGTAATGATTAATAGTAGAAGCTTGTGAAAATAAGTCTAGTTTTTCGTTACTGTAAACTGTAGATAACCGTGTCTGCTTTTACCTGCCATTCTATTTTATATAAAGTATTAAATGCTGGTACGTCAATTTTGAAATTATTGATACACGCCTGCTTAGTTGAATTAATAAAAAATTGTGCATACATAAAAAAGACAGTGCGTATCATAAAAACAGAAATTATGCTGAAAATCTTATTCCTAGAAGATAGAAATCTTAAGTTTCTGTCAAATGGCACTTCTTCTACACTTTTCTATAAGTAATGCCTCTTTCAGTACTAGCTGAGAATAGGTAGTTCAAGTTTCTAGCTGTAAATTTGTGGATTTTTTTTTATTTTACATTTTAATTTAGTAATTACTGTAATAAAATGTATTTTATTACTTTTTAGTATTAAATTAGTACAATATACCCTATAATTTTAAAATGATTCATGATCAAGCAGACTTTTTCCCTGATCTGTAAATAATTTTTATTGGGAATTACAGTAGAACCAAAGTGATCACTTTTAGCTGGTACGTTATATTTAAATAGCTTAATAAAATATAGCATTGCGATATTCTGAGTTTTTTTAAATAATAATCTCGTTTTAGACCTAGTCATCCAAACAAAAAAAATTGTTTTTTTCTAAAAAGCAAAATAATTACTGAAAGAATAGATACAAAAAGTTGATTCTAGTATACTTTAATGTAGTAGTAAAAAATAGGGCTCAACTTTCGTTTAGCTGAAATCTGTTATATAAAAAATGACTTTATATATGCGTTCTAGAAAGCGTTTGTAGTGGGTACAAATATACAAAATTTTTCCTGCGGAAATGCGTCATTTTCATTTTTCGGACTTTAGTATAGCCGAAATCTGTTACATCAAAACTAGTCTTCGGGGTGTGTTTTAGACATTTTTCTAAACATAAAAACACAAAAAAGTGTCTGCGGAAATTTTTTATTTTTATTTTACATAAAAAAATGCTTTGACTTTAGAATAGCCGAAATCAGTTACATGAAAAATGAACTTATATTTGTTTTATACGAGCCTTTACGAGGAAAGAAATACAAAAAAATTCCTGCGGAAATGTGTCAATGTCATTTTGTGCACTTTGTTTTTCATACATTTTTCAGTTTAGAAGCTTACGGGACCCGGGAGCGAATAGGGGTGCTGGGTGGAGTAAATATCTTTCGTAGGAATAACAATTCTTGTATAATAGATAATATAGTTCTTTTAAACTATAAGTACCCCGGAATGTTGCACTTATTCTTGTTTTTTATTTAAGCTTTACGTAAATAGGGATTCAAAACAAAAAATCATTGGATCATGCAGTTTTCTTTTATATTTTAATAATTAACTGTGATTTTGCAAAAATATTATTAGATTGGTTAGGATTTGGGTTACTTTGGTTAGCTTTTCTTTGTGGAGGGTGTTAAGCTGTGGTTTTTATATTTTAATAATTGTTACTGTGATTTTGTAAAAATATTATTAGATTTATTATTAGATTGGTCAGCATTTTAGACACTTTTAAATATTTTTTTTTGGTTCAAAAGTGCTTCATCGAAGGATTTTTTCATTTAATCTGTTCTATCAGCATAGGATTTTCTGCCAAAAAAACTGTGCCAACCTCCCCGGCTATTCCGCACATTTCTTTTGGTGTTTTTATAGTGGAAATATGTCTAAAATTCAACAGAACAACTAGCGTAAATGTAACTGATTTCGGCTATTCCAAAGTCAGAACATTCTTTATATAAAATGAAAATAAAAAGTTTCCGCACAGTTTTTTTTGTGGTCTAAAATTTAATACAAAAAACATTGATATAAATGTTACAGATTTCGGCTATTCTAAAGTCAGAGCATTTTTTCTAATCAGTGCATATTCTAAAGTCTATTAAATTTCCTCAGAAAATGGATACAGTTTATTTCCGCAGGAAAATTTTTATTTTCCTCAATTCGTGAATGCTTCTAAAAGGCAAAAATATATTTATTTTTTATATAACTGATTTCAGCTATTCTAAAGTCTAATAAATTTCGTTAGAAAATAAAAACAACTTATTTCAGCAGGAAAATTTTTGTGTTTATATGTTCAGAAAAATATTAAAAAAAAAATTTTTTATTCAGATTTCAGTTATTCTAAAGTGCGAAATTTGGAAATTACGCATTTCCGCAGGAAAATTTGTGTTTTCCGTGGTTCACAGTAACTTTTTAAAGACAATTTTTTTTCTAATAACTAATTTCAGCTAAACGAAAGTTGACCGAAAAATAGATTTTAAAATTTGAAATTCTTTAATATAGTGTAGGTGAAGTAAGAAAATTATTTTAAGACTTAAGTATGAAAATTATTTTTAAGCAATGTCTGAATGTTATATTCATTGTTTTTATCTTGGTATGCAGACACGGTGTTATGGATGTTCCAAATAACTTTATAACTAAAAGTTAGCACAAAGTTTTAGTTTTCTTTTCTGCAAAACTGACAATAATAATATTATTCAAGACTATAAAACATATCGTGCATAAAAGATTTGTAATAACTTAAAACCACGCATTAAACATGTTCATATTAAAAAGATATTGTACACTTATGATTAATGCTAAGAGTTTTAGATAATATATCAGTTTTTTTACTTTTTTTAATTCGAAACATTTTTTGTTGATAAAAAATTGGTCTTTGGTAATGTTAAATTATAACTTAGAGGAGAATTTATTAAAAATAATATACACGAGAAAATTGTAACAATGACTATTTTTTAGTTCTGAGAAAACTTATACATATAGTAATAAATATTGAAAATAATATGTATGATAATATTCTGAATATTGAAAAAAATATATTACTTTTTTATTTTTTTTTGTAACGGACAAAATAATAATAAGGTCATTATTACAATTAATGACCTTATTAGTACAATATAAACGTAAAAAATACGAATATTTTAAATTTCAAAAATAAAACAAAAATTTTGAATTTGTTGTGTATAGTTTTATGTTTTATATTATTAAACTAGGTATGATAATAATATTAACTAGGATTGATGATCATTACGCTATTATGCTGAAGTTGTTTGGCTGTTTAAGATATCGTGACTACCATAAAATGATGTGAAAGTTGTATTGGTGCTATGACTTAACGGGAACGTGTCGTTGCTGTTCAGTGTTCCGAAAGTCGACAGTATTTCGTTCATTCGATCTGGGCTATCTACAATAATGTGTTCTTGTAATTGACATTCGCTGGTTCTAAAAAAGAAAAATAAGTATGATTAGTTCCTGAATTTGAAAAAAATATATGTAACTTTTAATTACTAATTAATTGTAAGTAAAAGTATTGTAAGTGAAAATAATTTATAAAACAATTTTTATATTATAAAGGGTCTCTTTGTGAAAATCAGTCCTTATTAGAAAATATTCCAATATTCCAATACTGATTGTAAAATAAAAACGGTTTGAGTTTACCTCATAAAAATATTCGCTTATATAGGATGAAATACCTATTGTTAAATTAACACAAACATGATCATAGGCAAATAGTGTAATTTCTAGAAAATAATTCTGGAATTTTCGCTACTGAAAGCGCGATTCCAGCTTGTATGAGCAGTGGATTTTTACTAGTAGTGTCGACTGAAAGAATTGGGAAGATGCGCAACCTAATGGGCGAATTCGTGATAAGGCTGATTTGATTTCCCCTTAAGTCTCAAGTGCTGTTCACGCATCTCATTATTCATTTTTTTTTGGTTTTGTTTAATTGGGTTTGGGTTTACAATATTTAATCATTTGTACAATACAAGTGATGTGCAAAAATAAGTAGTTTAATTTATTGTTTATTTTTCTATACATTATTCGATTATTATATTATTAACTGTTTGGTTGAGAATGATCGCATAAATCATTAAATTAAATTCAATTTCGTTTCAAAATTCAAACTCAGATGATTTCTCTATTGCCCAGTGCGCGCGATCAAAGTGCGCGTACTACCGGAGGACATTCGCAATGCGGCCGGTGTGTAGAGACCAAGTCGCAAACACTAGTGCAGAGATCCGACACTATTTCTATTTTTCTGGTACTATTTTTTCGCAAAAACGTTACGTGCATCCGAAGAGTGTGGGCAAAAAAAAAGGTAAGTCATTTGAGCGCCCTGAAATATTTATTTTCTCAGTACTTTTTCTTTTTTTTCAATTCCCTTTTCGTTCAATTTCGCAACATATTTTTGGTTCTTCGAGCCGGATAATTTAGCTAGATATTTCTTTTTGCACATTTTTTACTATTTTTGATTACTATTGGGTGATTTTAAATAGTTTTCTATTAATTACTATTAAAATATTTGATGAGTAGTATAATTTATTTCAATAAAACTTGTTTCTATCGATAAAATCGTTCGAATTCGTTTTTTGTCGCATTCCATTTAATCGTTTGGATAAATTCGCTTCGCATATCTCGCAGTTCTTGGCTGTTTTTTTCGATTCTAAATTATTGAAATAAATTGTATTTTTACTTGAGAATATTTTTAAATTTTAGTAAATTGATACTACAAATAAAATCTTGTTTGCTAATAGATATTTTTTGGGTTCATTTTGATTAAAATATTAATTTAAAAACAAACCTAAATAATTTCGATTCATTAATTTATTCTTTTTTTTTGTTTCATAAAAAGATAAAATGGCATCACAATCTAATAAAATTAAACAGTTTTATTCATCTAGACAGACTGCTTCTTCTAAATTAGAACCACTCGCTATTTTTGCAGACGGTGCATCACAAGATGAAACACATCTCTTACAATTTAAAATTCGTTATGAGCAAATTGATAATATATATGAAGAGTTTTACAAAAATCATACCGCTCTAATTGCTCTATTGTTTTTAACAGAAAATCATAATTTAGAGGTAGAAGAGTATATTCGTAAAATGTTTGATGATAGATATTTTTTAATTCGCACAACTTATCATGGTTTATTCAATAAAGATATAAAACCAGAGACAGATCAATGTAATGTTTTTCATCAAGGTAATTTGCAATTACTAAAAATAAATTTGCCTAAATTTTATGGTGATTATTCTGAATGGCCTGCATTTATAGATTTATTTAAATCATTGGTACATTTAAATAATTCGGTTCCAAAAATTCAAAAATTTCAGTACTTGTAATTATCGTTAGGAAAAGAACCTCTCCTTCTAATAAAATCTTTAAATTTAAGTAAAGATAACTATGATATTGCATATAAAAGCTTGGTCAATCGATATGAAAATGTTCGCTTATTATCAAGTTCGTGTTAGCAACAAATTATTGATTTGCGTAAGTTAACTTCAGAAAACTGTTGAATTAAGAACATTACTAAATGTTTTTAATGAAAACTTAAGCGTTACGAAATTTAGGTTTACCCGTAGATTCGTGGGATTTTGTTCTTTTTCATATTGCTATTGCCAAGCTTGATTTATCTACACTAAAAAGATTTGAGTTAGAACATAGCTCAACAAATATACCAACTTTCGAAAGTTTAAAAACGTTTTTGGAAAAACAGTAGCTTTAGAGTCGATTGCATTCACTGTTCAAAAACCTGACAAAAAATCGTTTTCTTCTCATAGTTCAAAGGAAAAATTCGTTCGCAATAAAAAATCGTCTTTTACTATTAATTCTCAAAATGCAAGCTATTATTGCTCGTTTTGTAATGCTAAAGGCCATCCTATATATCGTTGTAGTTCATTTCTGGAAAAATCACCTAAAGAAAGATATTCAATTGCAAAACAACATAAACTTTGTTTGAACTGTCTGTTGTCTCTGTAATAATCATAATGTCGCTTCGTGTAGTTCTCGTTCTGTTTGTCACTCATGCAAAGGAAACCACCTATTTCGCATTTTTCTGCCGAAAATCAAATCGAAAATCAAGATATAGCATCGCTTCCCACGCCCAAGAATTCTGTTGCTGGTTCTCTACATACATCTCAAATTAATCCTATTCCAGGCACTTCTGGTTCTTCTCAAGTAAATTCGTTAATTAGTCTCTTATCGTCAGGCTCGCCTGTTATTATTTCTACCGCTCTCATCGAAATTCGCGATGAATATGGAAACTTCCATAAAGTCAGAGCTATCATTGACTCCGCTAGTGAATGTAGTTTCATTACGGAGAAATGTGCCAATAGATTAGGATTGTTCAAACAAAAAATCAATTTATCGATATTCGGAGTTGGTCAAGTATCGTCTACCGCTACCAGCTTCATCTTGTCTCAAATTCGTCCATGCAACTTATCGTCGTCGTCATCTCTATTAATCGAGGCAGTCGCATTGCCTAAAATTGGAAAGCCTACTCCTTCCTCACCTTTAAATCTCGATTCTTGGCCTCATCTTTCCGGTATAAAGTTAGCAGATCCCGATTTTCGAAAACCTGCTCCAGTGGATCTACTACTAGGAGCAGAATTATATCCCTTTTTATTAAAGGACCAAAGAATTCTTACTCATAATTCCAAAATGCCTTCTGCTATTCTCACTATTTTTGGTTGGGTTCTCAGTGGTTATGCTTCCCCACCAGATTGTGTAAAAACTAGTTTATGCAGTGTGGTGTGCTCAGAAGATTTTCAAGATTCTATGGATTCATTCATTAAAATATTCTGGGAGATTGAGGAACTGCCACAAAAAATATTTCGTTCTTCGGAAGATGAGTTATGCGAAAGCATATTTCTTAAATCTCTCTCGCGTTGTGATTCTACTCGTTTTATCGTATTTCGACACATCTCCCCAATTTTCGCTGGTTCTCGCTCACTCGCATTTCGTCGTTTGGTTTCGCTAGAAAAGCGATTACAAAATTCTTCTCTATATAACAGTTACTCTGAAGTATTGCAGGAATATTTGTCGTCAGAACATATGGAAAAAGTGTCTGCTCCTGCTTCGGATGAAGGTCATTTCTATTATCTCGCTCAGCACCCTGTAGTTAAACTCAGTAGTGCTACTACTAAAATTCGAGTAGTATTTGATGCTTCGGCAAAAGATTCCAAAGGACAGTCCTTGAATGATAGTCTTTTAACGGGAGAGAAATTACAAAAGGATATATTCTCAATATTGTTAAAATGTCGCATTGATAAAATTGTATTCACTGCAGATATTAAGCAAATGTATCGGCAGATTTGGATAGAACCAAAGCGTACAGATAATCAACGTATTTTGTAGCGGTTCTCTCCGTTCGAAGACGTTCAAGATTACCGTTTGAAAACTGTCACCTTTGGAGTTAGCTCATCTCCATTTCTAGCTCTTCGCACCATTCAATAGCTTATTGCCGAGGGAAAAGCTTCATTTCCACTAGCTGCAAAAGTCCTAGAAACTGACATTTTCGTAGACGATGTTGTAACAGGCTGTTCATCGGTCGAGTCTGCATTACAACTACAGCAAGAGCTTGTGGCATTATGCAGTTCTGGAGGATTTGAACTTAGAAAATGGTCCAGTAACTCACAAATTCTTTTAGATAAAATCGCGTCATCTGTGTGTCACGATTCTTCTTTTTCTTTTGATTTTGAAAAGGACATGGTTCTCAAAATTCTTGGTCTTCAGTGGGATCTACTGCAGGATTATTTCACATATAAAGTTGATATTCTGGAAAGACCATGTACAAAAAGGCACGTTTTGTCAGAGCTGGCCAAAATATCCGATCCATTGGGATTTTTATCACCTCTCACTTTTTTCGCTAAATATTTGATTCAACAACTCCAAAACCAAACCAAAAACCTCCTGATCGCATTTTGGAAATTTGAAAAAATTATAAATCCCAACTGCATCTCATTTCATTTCTCAATGTTCCTCGTCGCATCACTTGTGATGATGCATGTACTACGAACTTCACGGGTTCTGTGACGCATCAGAAAAAGGTTATGCGGCTGTTGTTTACCTTCGTGCTCTTTCTCAGAATTCTCAATATCGGGTCTCTTTGGTGAGCGGAAAATCAAAAGTTTCGCCCTTGAACGAATATCTCTTCCTCGGCTCGAGTTATGCGCTGCAGTCTTATTGTCTGATCTTATTGTAGCAATCTCAAAAACGCTGGAAAACAATCTTAAGTTCTGTACGCTTTATGCGAGGTCAGATTCTATGGTAACTATTTTTTGGATTAAATCTTCTCACCGTTGGAAAACATTCGTTGCCAATCGAGTAAGCCATATTCAAGATATTCTTCCACCTGCTTGTTGGAATTATGTGGAATCCAATAAGAACCCTGCTGATTCTGCTTTGCGAGGTTTGTTGCCAAAGGATCTAGTAAATCACTCCTTATGGTGGGCGGGACCAGCATGGCTTAAAGAGCCACAAAACTGTTGGCCTTCTTTTAATTACTCTTTAGAGCCTAATTCTTTGTCCATAAAGGAGGAAGAAAAGGTAACCTCTTTGAAAATAGCCGTTTCTATAAATTTTTTCGATAGTTTATTGTCCAAATACTCATCTCTTAGGACTATACAACGCGTTCTTGTTTATATCTCTCGATTTGTTCACAATCTTCGACATTCCAAAGATAAACTTTGTGGATATATTACTAACGAGTTACATTCTTCTCTCATGTTGCATATTAGGAATGTTCAAGCTCAATCATTTGATGACGAAATATATTGTATTCAAAGTGGTAAGGCATTGTCTAAATCTATGCGTAAGCTCTCCCCCTTTCTCGATAGCTCTGGTGTTCTCAGGGTGGGCGGTCGTTGAGGTAATTCAGGTCTCCAACTTTTCTCAAAAACATCCCGTCTTGCTACCTTCTCAATATCGGTTGACTGAATTGATTATAGAACAGTACCATACGTAATATTTGCATGTGGGGTTGCAAACGTTGCAATTTCTATTGTCTCAAAATTTTTGGATTTTGTCAGCTAGAAAGGCTATTTACAAAGTCATTTCTGAATCCATTAAGTGTTTTCGTAATAGTCCTAAAATTTCTCAACCTCCAATGGGTCAGCTACCATCTGTTCGAGTAAATCAAGTTAAGCCTTTTCAAGTAGTTGGTTTGGTTTGGTTTGGTTTGGCGAGGTCCGCGTAATCCACACGCGGGACCTCTTTTTATAACTTTAGGAAGACATCGGGGTGCAAAATCTCAGAAGGCGTATATTTGACTCTTTGTTTGTTTTACCACAAAAGCATTACACGTTGAATTGGTTAGCAATCTCACCACTCATGCTTCTCTTGCTGCGTTGCGTAGATTTATTGATCGACGTAGTAGGTGTAACCAGATATTCTCTGATCGTGGCACTAATTTTGTAGGCCCCAAGAGTGAAATTCTCAAATGTATGGAAGATGCGTGTATTGAGGAAAATTTGACTTGCACATTCAATCCCCCTTCTTCGCCTCATTTTGGAGGATTATGGGAAGCAGGGGTAAAATCCTTTAAAACTCATCTTTTCAGAGTCATTGGGGATCAACGATTAACGTATGAAGAACTTTATACGGTTTTGGTTCAAATCGAAAGTTTGTTGAATTCAATGCCATTATGTCCCTTAAGCTCTGATCCCAACGACTTATCTGCCCTAACTCCAAGGCATTTCTTGACTTTACCTCCACTTTCTAGTATTCTTGATCCCGATTTGACTTCTATTAATGTCAATCGACTCACCCGATGGCAACTAATCCAGAGAATCCAGCAAGATTTTTGACGTCGGTGGCATTGTGAATACTTGCATCAATTGCACCAAAAATTAAAGTGGAATTAAACTACTAGTTTGATAGTTCCCGGCACATTGGTCTTAGTGAAACAAGAAAATAATCCACCTCTCAAATGGCCTCTCGCCAGAGTGGAAAAATGTCATTTAGGTGCGGATGGTATATGCAGAGTAGTTACTCTTAAAACTCAACGAGGACAATTACAGCGACCTGTTGTAAAAACTGTCCTCTTCCTCTAAATTAGTTAAAATATATATATTTTGGTGGGCGGTATGTTCACGCATCTCATTATTCATTTTATTTTTGGTTTTCTTTAATTGGGTTTGGGTTTATAATATTTAATCATTTGTACAATATAAGTGAAGTGCAAAAATAAGTAGTTTAATTTTTTGTTTATTTTTCTTTACATTATTCAATTATTAATTGTTTGGTTGAGAATGATCGCATAAATCATTAAATTAAATTCAATTTCGTTTCAAAATTCAAACTCAGATGATTTCTCTATTACCCAGTGCGCGCGATCAAAGTGCGCGTACTACCGGAGGACATTCGCAATTCGGCCGGTGTGTAGAGACCAAGTCGCAAACATTAGTGCAGAGATCCGACACTGTCTCTATTTTTCTGGTACTATTTTTTCGCAAAAACGTTACGTGCATCCGAAGAGTGTGGCCAAAAAAAAGGGTAAGTCATTGAGCGCCCTGAAATATTTATATTCTCAGTACTTTTTCTTTTTCTTCAATTCTCTTTTCGTTCAATTTCGCAACAAGTGCTGTACGGTGGAGATACCAATCTTTCTGCGGGCAACGCATAAAACACTTATAATTTTTTTTTAAATCGGCCAGCGAAGGCATATCGAAGACGATGTGGAATTACGGATATTAGGTACACGATATTTCGTGTACCTAAAAGTTTAGTATTTCGTGGTTTGTGTTTGTGGAACAGTACAGTGTAAAAAGTAGGATAAAAGTGTTTAGGTAGTTTGAAATAATGATTTTCTTAAAACAATTTGGTATTGCCGCTTGCATGTAAAATAATTTTTTATTTATTTTGTGGTTATGTTTGAATGTTACATAAAACGGTTTCTTTGTATGATCTCATGATCATAACTATATCATTAATTAACATCATTTTGCAGATAAACACTTTTTCTTAGTTGAAAATCATGCGCGAAAAATCAAACAAAAAGAATAAATTAAAGAAATGAAAAGTTCCAGAGAATATTTGTAATAATTGGTTTCCCAAAAAAAAATATTATTTATGCATTGTTAATCTAAAGCAGTCTTGAGAAAAGGTAAACAACTTTACTTAGAAATTATTTCGGATTTCAAAAATCATTTTTATTTTAGGAAAAATCGGTGGCGTACCTACCAATGGCTGCTAAAATAAGCAGAACAAAATCATTACGAGCGCTACTGGTGGAAAAAAAGTGGTATTTTTGATACACAGACTTCTAAAATGGTATTACAGAAATTAATAAAAAAATGTTTTATTATTGAAAACTTCATCACCCTGCATCTCAAAAGTTTGCATATATGTATTATGATATTTAGGAGCACCATTATATTATTAGAATAAACGTATTATTTTCTGTTATTTTTTTATTTATGCAATGAAACAGCATCTTGTATACAAGTGGTTCAGAATGGACGATCCACGATTATTTTAGTTTCATCTGAAAACTACAATTTTGATTTTTCAAATAGGTAAGTAAGTACAATTCAAGAACTTCTGATATTCAATGTTACTAGGATTCTGTAAGGGTATTATAGCAAAGTTTAAGTTTTCATTACAGAAAGACTTAAAATTAACTATTAACTATACCTATGTACGGCCACTGATGATGGTCACAAAAACGGACAAAGAAAAGTAAAATTTTACATTGACTCAATAATGGCGTTGCACGTTTTTGAAAAGGTAGGTTTTCAAGTGCTATTACGCGTTTAAAGGCTTCTGAAACCCTCCTCGATTTCAGCACACAATTTACATATGGTTTAAAAATCCATAAGCCCGCTATGCCATTTAGATTTGCTACCGCGTTTCAGCTCAGTAAACGTGCTGACACATAGTAGTAAGTCATAAACCGATCCGCTATTATCGGAAACGTCATTTACTACGTCACAGGAATGCTACCACTCATAGATAAAGGGATAAAAACTGCCGACAGTCCGACAGTGCATTTCCGAACCGATATTCATTGTGTACTTTATTGTTTTCAGTGTATGGCGTCCATCTATTTCACTGTTTGATGTGTGTTTTCTTTATTGTATTGCCCATTTATCTTCCTTTGTCGGTTGCATTTTATTTTTTATTAATGCGCTGCGGCGAAGAGCTAAACAAAATCTCGGACAGGCTGACGGTAACGCCAGTTACATATCGGATAGGTTTTGTGCCACGAAATCGCCCATAAAGTTGCGCATCTTCTTATTTCTTCAATCAACGCTAGTACATTAATTTCCTCAATCGATTAAAAATCGTCAACGTTTCAGTACGTATATCTGCTCGCATTGTCAGAAGCAAAAAAAAACACAAAGAATAAAGTAAAAACTAGTTAAAATATCTAAATAGAACTATCCAAGAACACCTGTATGTTGAACAAAGAAGGTGTTCTAGTATTTAGAAAATTGTGTTGATATCTGCTAAAAACTAAAGTGTTAATGTAAATGTTAATAGGTGTTTACTGTATTTTTTTATTAATTTGGTGTGCAGATAGATTTACTAACAATATTTTTTTGCTGTTCGGAACTTTCTAAATTGTGTTTTGACGCTATACATTTTTATAATAAAAAAACAGCAAAAGGAGTGGCTATCTGAACACCTTGTATACAACATACCCAAATAATAATTTTTCGTAAAAATTATATTTGACTAAAAACATCCTCAGAATAAATGTCAACATTTTAGATTACTAAAGAATATTTTTTTTGAACAAGAGTCAATAATATATTTTGACTTTGTTTCATCCTATACAAGAAAGAATTTGTAGTGTAGCTATATAATTTAAACACTCTAAACGATTCACAATTATAAATATATCTAACAAAACCACCTGTTATTAAGTTGATGTTGATGCTGATGAGAGTGATGCTGGGTTCTTACTTGGTTAACCAGTACATTTCCAATTCTAGTAGACGTTTGTTTTATTGAATATATGTAGACACCAGTCATCGAAAGTGTATACGATAAAAAATATAACGCATGAAACTAAAAAAAAGTTTAATATGTAGGATAAACATCAAGAAATAATAAATTTCTTACCTTGTAATTAAATAACAATATTCCTATTATTAATGTATAAAAGTTTCCCGACAATAGGGATAAATGTAAAGCAGTTGTGCCCATATTTAATAAGAATAAACTAGAAAATGTACAAAATATAAATTGGCACGCCGAGAATGACGATAATAGTGCACTTGAGTTTTTCCACGTAGAGGAGATGAGCGTTTGTTTTTCTAATAATAACCTAAAAAAGAAGTTTTGTTATTACTAAAAAGAATTTTAAATAATGTCATTTTTACGGCGGGTTTAGTTCTTGAAAAAAAAATAGCCTGGGTTTTCGCCAATGAAAGAGAAAAAGAGAAAATTATAAAATAAAAAGTTATTTTTGTACTGTAATACCACAATGTTGAATCCAAATGAAAAAGTAGCTAGGGTTTGTAGGGCTTGTAGCATGTAGAATGACTGGAGGGGGTTAATCACCGCAACCTTAAAGATCTATTGTGTCTCCCTTTTTTGAGTTATAACTGATCATACATGGGACTCTTCCTTTTGTAGGGGACAGGGCAGGGGGGTGGACATCTACCTCCTACGAGGATATACACATGGTTGAGGTTTAGCCCTCCATGATCTTCACAGTCCAGGAGCTTGTCTCTGGCTGAGGTACCTTGTCTGTACTGTGTTTTACTGTAGGTCCCTTGAGGTTGAGGCTGGAGGATCTGTCTCCATTTTCTCCACCTCTTTAACTTGGGCTCTCATTAGACTTAATACCGGTGTTGTGCCGGATCTATAATGAAGGATATCTCTCTCTCTTTCTCTATTGCCTTTTTAGATGTGAGGTCAATTTCTATTGTGAGGACCTGACCACGGCCCTCCACCCTCGAGCTGATGACTCGTCAACTCTATATCCTTACATTGGAGTTTTGGTGAAAAAAAGCTGATAATACATCGCAAGAGTTAGTTGGTCCACTTCTAGATAGCCCCGCATGTAGAAGTAAGGGAGACGAGAATACAATGGGATACCCCCTGGTGCCCCAATGTTGACACCAGTAGAGGCTATACAATAAGCTTTTTTCGTTTTCCTGTTATTACCGATTCTGAATCGTCCTTGTACTCTGCAGCGCATGCGCAAATGAAATAATGTCTGCATATTTCCTTCTGCGCATACGCATACAATTCTAGGACGGTTCAGAATCGGTAATAACAGGAAAACGAAAAAAGCTATAGTCTTCTATCTAGCCACGTATCCCTTTGACCTGGTCCCGCCATCGTAGGATTTAGGTTATTTGATGTGTTTGTCTCCTCTTGATCTGGGCGCTTAAGCCAAGACTACCCCCGCATCCTCTGCTATCGAGCGATCATAGAGTAGAGCATGCCTGGTATGTACGGACAGGGTAGTCCCCTCCGGCATCGTTATAAGTCTTGGTGCAATTCCCTGGACACTTAGTGTCGTGACCACCTAGCCAGAAACATGACAGTGAGATGCACCTTAGACCTAGCCAAAGTGTCGGAGGGGATTTCCCCTAGCACCTAACTAGGAGCTTCCCCATCAACAAGGTTTCGTATCTTCTAGAGGAAGTAATCCAAACCAGCTTGTCAGTGGATTTCTACTAGTAAAACAAATATGCATAAGCGATAAAAAATGCTTAACGCTACAATGTTTTTTGAGATTTTCACAGAACGCCGCGCTGGCTTCTCTGAATAGTTATATTTAGACATTTTAAATATTTTTTTGCTGGCATGACGACGGGAGGAGATATATCTCTGGTTTAGCATTTTTTGTCTATTAAGCATGCAACAAAAATTGCAGCAACTTTTTTTACAACACGTGAGCATTCTACGTGAGCACTTGCAGATCCTCTATGTCAGTCAACAAAACTTTCTTTAAGTTAGTTATTCCGTATATAAGAAAAATATACCAAATAATAATTGCTGACTGTAAAGTGAATTGCAACTTAGCTGGCATGCAAGTAAAATTGCGAACTATAAAGCGGCCTTTAGACGAATTTGTTTTACTAGTAAAATGCTACTAATAAGCCGGTTTCCGTTTGAATTCAACGCAATGGTATTCACACATAACTTTTTAATTTTTCAGACATCTCTTCCAATGGTAAAACCCCATGATTTTTCTCAAGATAAAAAGAGAATTTATTGTATTGCTTATTAATACTTACATTTGAACGCCACTGACTATGCTACCAAATAGTCCCAAAAGACCTAGGTATTCAATAATATCAGTATTTTTTACTGATAATTCTTGGAGGACAGTTACTATGGCAAAAAGCACGGCGCCCCCAAGACACAGCATATCGCCAACAAGCTGATTTTTTCCTTAAAAAATAATAGTTTTGTATTATTACCAATATTGCTATATGTATAACTAATAGTGGTAGATTAGTGTTAAATTAGTAAACAGTTAGACACTATGTATAGAGTATAACGCCCTTTTATTGATTTTTATCTAATAAATTTTAATTTTAGTTTCAAATAATCAGTATGTCCTCGGATTGTGTTTACAAGAGGAAACACTTTTTTATTATTAACTTTTTGAGAAAAATGAAAAACTTCTTTCGTATGGAAATTTTGAAAAGTATAAACGGGATTAACAATTAAAAAAAAGTACAAACCTTTTTGACGAACGTATTTTTCTCAAAAAGTTAATAATAAAAAAATATGAAAAAAATCGTTTTGTAAAGACAATCCTGGGGCATACTGTAGTTTATAAAAACACAAATTTTCCATAAAAACAATTGAATTGTCTAATAGGGGAATTTTATTAAGTACCTTATAGTAGTTTTTTTCATATTTACATAGAGACGTCACAAGTTGTCAATATTTATTTGTTAAAATTGGAGTTTACATAAAAAATTTAGTAAAATATGTCAAGAAGGATTCTTTTGCTAAGTGTGTTTGGAATCTCTAACGAATATAGTCCCCGTAAAGTAATGAAATATTCATGCCAGTGGGGGCGAAGAATTTAGTTTTTTGGGTTAAAAAAAACTTATCTCTTGGTAGTATTATAAGCCGCATCTGTCCTATTCTAAATTTCCAGTAAAATTAAAATTAATTTTAACATTTTAAATACAAAATTAATGTGTTTATACTTTATGACAAATTCTTATTATTTTGATAATTTAATGAGGAGAATCATTTTGAGTCATACTTCAGGGTTCCATTGATGGTTGATTGTTAAGATAACTTCAAAATTCCGATACAGCAAAATTAGATTAGAAGCCTCCCATTTAAAATTATATCCATTTATAATATATCGCTGAAAAGATAATTTTAAGCTCTACAGTAGCGTGTCGTGAATAAAAGTCCGGAGGGGGCGAGACCTTAAGGGGCGCAATGATCAATAAAGGATCAAATAAATTACAAACTTTTTTTTAAATAATAAGACTACATCAAAACTTTTATTTTTTTTAATTATAAATTTGTTTATTAAAAAAGTTAGTATACAAAACAGTTATTTCAAAGATACAAGCCGATTTTTTAACCGATTTAAAAGAATTATTATTTTTTAATTATATCGTCTACTATTTGTGTCTGCTTCAATACTGAGAAGTGATAAATAATTGGTTCTATCTTGTGTGCTGGTGCACCTCTGGCAATTATTAATTCTTCCTAATCTACTGAAAGATCGTTCTGCACTAGCACTGTTGGTGGCTGTAGTGTAAAAAATCCTCAGTAATGCACATAAAGATGGATATGAAGACTCTAGGTCATTGGAAATTAAAAATGATAAATATTCGTCAGGTGCAAGTTTGTTGTCATCAGCATTAATTTCTTCTAATAAACTGCAAAAATGTTTATATTCTTCAACTAAAGAAGGTTTAACATCCGCTTGGTACAATATCTGTAAATCCATAAGACATTTTAAATTGTCATCATTGACGTCCATACCCAATAAACAATAAAACTTTTGGCATATATTAAGGATGTCTTCAAACCGATTCTCTAGAGTACCAGTTAAAATGTCTAAAGTACCATAAAACACTGATATCTTGAAATTATCTACAGAATTTTGACGCAGGTAATCATTCTGGATTTCATCATGATTTTTTTTATTCTTCTTTGTCTTCTTGTGGAAAATGATGTTGACGTATTGCATTTATTTGCCAAAATAGTAGCCTGTTTTTTAAAATTTTTAAAATATTTCTCACTTCTTAATCATATATGAGATCTTTAGTTACCGCAGTAATCATACGAGCAGCTGTACATACAGTTGATATTAACCTTTTGCAAGTGATTGGACAATATATTAATTTTATTCAACACTTCATTATAATCGATTGTATTTTGGTCGGTGATTCCCCGAATTTATTTCCATCGCGACTGCATTCGTCTTCTTCTTTGGCGGCGCCGGCGCAACGTTATGTCTAGCCATTGATTTTTAATTTATAGACAATGGTCTAGCGGTAGTGTAGTTTCAAACCCATATGAAAACTTTCGTACGTATACGCCTTCATTAGAGATTTAAATTATTAAATATAAGTAAACATTAAAAAACAAAAATGAAATGTGAGAAATATATACGTCATTTTGGGGCAACGGCCCAGCTACGTCGAAACACCGGTTCCCATTAGAACACCGAAGTTAAGCGACGTAAGGCGATGCTAATGGATGGACGGGTGACCGGTTCGAAACTTTACATCGTGCTGTTGTCCAAAAGGGAAAAGTGTAAAATCTATTGATACACACTGCTCATTCACGCCGGTTCAAGGCCGGATGAGATCGGATATCTCGTGAGTAAGAGTTAATTTAAACACTTCCTAAGTCGGTAGGCCAGTGACCATGATATGGCCGAGGACCGCGGTTCGGATTCCGCGTAAACAAGTAGGTCCAGTCCAGTTTAGCCATTCCAGCAAAAAGGAGACGTTAACTTGAACCTCAAAAAAAATACGTCATTTTGTTATCTTAAAGAGCTAAGGGCACGGTTTGGTTGTGAGGGGCGGAGGGGCGGAGGCGCGCAGAGGGGCGGAGGGGGCGTTCGGCCCCCCCCCTGGCCGCCTATACGACACGCCACTGGTACTACATTTTAAATTTATACGATGGAATGCAATGCACGATTATATACAATGCAATGACATCTGTGCAAACCGAGGGGTGTCCCACTTGGGTAAAAAATCTACATGTACTGTTAAAATATAATTTTTCTGCCAAGCGACTGCTAATAACTACGAAGTAGACTGCCATGCAATTATTATAGGCGACTGCCGTAAGACTGTCAATTACTGCCAGCCACTGCCAAGAAAATGTACATGTAATTCCAATAGTGAGACACCACTCGGTTAGAGTGGTCCATTAGTACAAGGGTTGATATCGAAGTCCATTATAGTCGTCGTTGTTGAAGAAATATGAATGGTTTATAAACGGGCATATCCCAAAAATATTTTGTTGTATACAGGGTGCGCCAAAAAAAAGTTATGATAACGTTTTATTTATTTATTTGCAGCCCCCATTTTTCTGTACATAATTGGATTCTGTTCATTGCATTCTGTACATAGTACGCTATTACTATTATATTATTACCAACGCTATGCGGTGTTGTCATATTATTTTATATTTACTGAAACTTAAAAACACTCTATCCGAAAAGAGGTTAAAAACTAGAGTAAATTTAACTTCATTAATACTTAGCTATATTTTCTTAAACACCAAGGATAACAGAATAACCTCGCGAAAGAAAATTTATCTTATACCTTATATTGGTAATTTTATGGTTAGAATAAGCACCATTATAAAACATGCAACATCTGTATAAAACTTATTTTCGTATCTTCGACAACAACGATTATATTGGACTTTCTCACACTAATGGGCCACCCTGTATATTTAAGTATAGAAATGTGTAGTTATACAGGGTTGTTCACCACATACGACACGGAGTATTTTAACTAAACGATTAGATTTTTACAAATTGTAAGTTTTGGGTTCGTTGAACGACTATTAGAGCTACAATTTAAAAATATTTTTACAAGATACAGAGTGTCCCAAATAAGTAAAAAATATTATAGTTGTATTTTTTTAAACGGAACACCCTGTATATTATTCTATTTTTGGATTCTATGATTGAAATAAAGGTAAATTTGATTAAGGTTTATCACACTTAAACCTTACCGTTTTTGAAATATGTTTAATTTTATGAAATTGCAGTAAAATTTTTAAGGCTTCATTTCTCCAAGGGTATCAAAGTTTTTAATACTAAATATTTACTGAAGATTATTTATTGATCAGATATTGTGTTGCAATAATAAAACTTTTACTACCTTATACAGAGTGTCCAAAAATTCGTATTAAATAATTACTAGCTTTAAACGGCAATAACTTGTTTAATTTAAATGGAACACCCAATATATTTTAAGTGAATTAAATGCACAATGTAATTGTCTATCAAATTTTATTATACCATTTTTTATCCATCTCTTCAAGTTTTTGTAGAAAATGCATTTTCTTATAATTTAGACCTCATTTATCACTATACACATGGAATATTGACTTTTTAGCTTATTTTTAAAGATGTAACAAATTTTCAAATGGTACAGATACTAAAATTGTCGATATAGTTGCTTATTTAATTAAAAAATAAAAAAACTGTTTAAATATTTTTTGTTAAAGAGGACCAATTAATATGATCCCAGTATTCAAACTACATTAATTGACTGTTTACGTTGATGTGTATTAGACAGTGTGGTAAAAAGTAACACCTTATAAATTTTATTTCATTTTTTGACGAATTTATATAAATGAAAATTTTATAAAAACAGAGACGTTCATTTTCATAACTTATTATTATATTGATTTTTGGGCCAAATCCATATTTATTTAGAATACTTTATTAATTAAAACATATTAAAAGTATGTAATTAACTAATTTTTGGTGGTTTTGGTCGGAAATAATGGTGATATAATTAATTGGTATACTCTTTTACAAAGATTTAAATAGTTTTTTTTGTATGCCAATGAGCTTGCAATATTTACCGCCTGTACATTTTGTACATATATGGTGCTATAAAAAAATCTGAAATGTCAATATTCCATGGATATAGTGATAAATGAGGTCTAAATTATAAGAAAATGTATTTTCTACGAAAACCTGACGAGATAGGTAAAAAATGGTATAGTACAATTTGATAGACAATTAAATTGTGCATATGATTCAGGTAAAATATATAGGGTGTTCCATTTAAATTAACCAAGTTATTGCCGTTTAAATCTAGTAATTATTTAATATAAATTTTTGGACACTCTGTATAAGACAGTAAAATTTTTATTAATGCAACACAATATCTAATCAATGAATAATCTTCAGTAAATATTTAGTATTAAATACTTTGATACTCTTGGAGAAACGAAGCCTTAAAATTTTTACTGGAATTTCATAAAATTGAAAATATTTCAAAAACGGTAAGGTTTAAGTGTGATAAACCTTAATCAAATCTACCTTTATTTCGATGGTAGAATCCAAAAATAGAATAATATACAGGGTGTTCCATTTAAAAAAATACAACTATAATATTTTTTACTTATTTGGGACACTCTGTATCTTGTAAAAATATTTTTAAATTGTAGTTCTAATAGTCCTTCAACGAACCCAAAACTTACAATTTGTAAAAATCTAATCGTTTAGCTATAATACTCCGTGTCGTATGCGGTGAACAACCCTGTATATAAAAAAAATAATAATAGCTCAGAAAAAAAGTGGAAATATTGATTTTCATTATTAAAATTAATCTACAACGTGAAAATATTGGTTTGTTTCATACGTCTATTACTATTTTATTTTAAGTCGATGGTTTCTATACGACATATTTTTCTTACCGTCAATTTTGTTATCTTCAATATTGACCCATACGAGACATCCTACACCAATAAGGCAAACAGAAACAGCAATTATATGTACCATTCGATATCGAACACCCAGTATCAAACAGCTTAAAGCTAATGCCACTGGAATAGCTACACATCCTAACAACTGAAAAAATATGTGTTAATACAAAGAAAATAATGAAATGGTGAAATGTCGCCCACATAACTATACTAACGCATATAACTAAATATAACTACATTCCACTTTAGTCTCTTTTAATAATAATAGCTCCCGTATATAGTATATAGCGTTTGACGCCTTGGGAGTAGCAAGGTATAGCTTGCTATACTAGAGCCGTTCGGTATACAAGGAAGGTAATGTGGCTAGCGCTACGCTTCAACCGCCTATTTTACCTCAGGATTGTGAATCCCAAGTACTCATTTAAGGCTGAGTCGACCTAGGTACCCAAACTACTTTTATTTTAATAAAAATAGTCGGTTGATGAAATGCCGGGTGTGGGAATCGAACCCACACCTTGAGATTGGTAGACGAGAGCCTGTACCTCTACGCCACCGGGCACCTTCTTTAGTCTCTTTTGATAGTGAAAATTGAACAGCAATTTGGGTCAATTTTAATAAATAGCAATTTTTAATTCAACCATCTTAATCTCTTTTCTTCATTTGTTACACACTTTTGGTAAAATCGTATAAGAAAATAACAAATGACTTAAAAAATAAATACAAAATAAACTTTCAAATTATATACGAATTTTTGTATCCTGTCCAATAATATTTGAATGCATTAACCCTTCAATTTTAAAAATGGACATGAAAAGCAGCCCATGTTATAAATCATTTCTCTATGATTGCCGTTTTTCGATTTTTCATCCATGCATCGTTTCAATCTCGGTTTCAATACGGCTATATGCGTATAACTATTAAAGCTATATTTTAACGTAATATGAAGAATTATGAGATTCTGTAGAAATTATAGATTATTAAATATATTATAACAAATATTTCCGGGATATGTTATTGCTGGAATTAATGTACTATTTTTTTTTATTTTCAATAATAATTTTTAATAACTAAATATAATCTTTAATAATCTCAAATTACCGGCAATTATATGCATATGGGCCGACCGGTGGCGCAAGCAGTAGTGTGTCGATCTGCGGTGCGAGAGGAACTAGGTTCGATCCCCAGCCCATAAATGAAGCGACCGTACTTTATTTATTTAAATAAAAATATTGATTTATCTAAATAGAGCGACCACCGAGCGGCTATCTCAAAGAAGGCAATTGTAATGCTGGAAGTACACACTCGCCGAGGCGACCGCGACCCGAGACGTGACAAAACTCAATATGGATTACAGTGTTTTTAAATGGCAATTTTATTCCGCAGAGTAAAAAATGTAAAACATTTGTATACTTTAACGACATTTGTAAAAGATATTGAGTGAAAATCGTATTCAGAAAATCTGATAATGACCTTTTTTCGAAACAATCGGTCACACTGTACGTACTTGGTTAAAACATATTATTTAATTCTTCAAGGGGATTAAATAATTGGTAAATAATAAAATACATAGTTACGAGTTATGAAACAAAATATTTGTATACAGTATGTCCCCGGTGTAACGTCAAATTTTTTGAGAAAATTAACGTCATATGTTTTGCTCTTTTAAAATATTTAAGAAGCAAAAATTTTATTTAGTTCAATGCTACGGAAACGGTGATAATAGTTTTCGGAAAGTGTGACACTTTAACAACAAAAAAAAAGATATGACGTTAATCGAAATTAATAATATCCATCTATCAAAGAATGAAATCTAAATTATATTACCATACAAATGTGTTTTGAATTTTAGAACTTAGAATAAATTCAATTTTCAAGTTTTGTTTTAATTTTCTCTAAAACAGTACGGAAATTTGAAAAAGTATAAACGGAATTAACCATTTTAGAACAAGCAAAACTTTTTATGAAGAATGCATTTTTCTCAAAAAGTTAATAATAAAAAAGTTCTTCCTCTTGCTTTTGTAAAGATAATCTGGGGACATACTCGTAGTGTAGAAAAGCCGAAACTAAATAGTTACCTGTATACTTGTAAGAGTGGTAAATTGGTGCGCTGTGCTCATCAACGTATTGGCTTCGACATCAATAATGCATAGAAGCAGATACCTCCAGCCTCTTCCTCTGATTATTGAAATTAATCCCCTATCGCCTCTTCGGAACGCCAACCAACTGGTATAAATTGCACATAAAAACATGTAATGCGGAAAACTCTGACCCGTTGGCAGAACATCGCTGGACCCTGAATTAATATAATGGGCCAACGTGTTGATCGCGCACAAGATTAACGAAAGAAACTGCCCTAATATTATATTCTGCCAGACTTGCCTACAAATAAAAAAATTTAAACACAGTGTATATATATATTTAAAACACAACGAAAACAAAATTGAATACCATTTGCCTAATTCGGAGAGATTGTTTCCTATTTTATCACAAAAGTCAACAGTTTGAGTGGTGTCTCCCATATTTTCAAAGTATTCATTAAGGAAATTCTGTTTACTTTCACCCTCGGCGAAAAAAGGCGGGCGGGGCAGACCCGATGCCACGGATAAACCTCCCCTGAATTTAAATTCGGCCGCGCAAGCGTGGCGGCTGTACAAAGCTCCATCTACACGTAGGGCTACATAATCAAGGATAGAAGAATAATCAATACAACACTTGAGGTGTATAGTGGGGCAGACTACTTTATTTTGGTAAATTAACGAGTTATGTATTGCTAGAAATATAGAAGATGGCATTGTCGAATATGCCTGGGGTTAAAATTTGTTACTGAATAAAAAAAAACAGCACTTGCAAATTAAATTTATTATACAGAGTCTTAAATAAGTGTAAATATTTCTAGGGGTGGTATATTTCGACCCTAGAAATTTATTTTTCGCAAAAAAGAAAATTTTTGAAACTTGAAAAAAATGGAATAATTTTTACCTACTTACAGCGAAGAAAGCCTAGAAAAAATCCGGTGATTCTAAAAATTTAAGCAAAAAATATATTTCTTTTAATTTTTAAAGTAAAATTAAGCTTGATTTTCATGCATCCGTTATCCGACGATACGATGATACGATATTAATTTTATTGGTTGAATTTAAAAACTTCGGTTGGTTAGAAACGGTTAACCCATAGAATAGCTAACTGAAAGAAATGAAAACTCCTATGTTAAAGCTTGGAAACACGCGCTCGCCGCGATCCAAGCGGGCTACTGGCAGAACTAAAGGTTCGCGTCATATTTTTAAATGGACCTTTACTGCCAGTTCATAAGTTTTTTACTTATATTTGGTAATTTCAATCTTGATTATTAATTTATTTGTAACAAAATATTTACAAAATAAAAATAATGTATTTTGATACAAATAAATTAACAATCTAGATTGAAATTATCCCTGATATTAGAATAAAACACGAAAAATTTGTAACTTGATTATTTTATTATAACATTTGTTAATAAAAATACATATAACACATTCAATACCTATAACTAACTATACAAGTATATATAAAAGTTATCAGAATTTATACGATCAGTTATAAATAATTATAAAAAAGGTTATAAATTATAAATAAATAAATCATTATATAAAAGGCATATTAGTTAACGTGTATCTAATTTGGTATAACTTTAATCTCAATTTTAATGACCTATTCAAATAGAAACAGCTTACAATTCGCGTTGTATAATACAGAAAGTAAAAGGACAAATTTGTTAGTAAATCTATTCTCGATGACCCGAAATATTTTTTTACAAACAAAACAGGACATATAAAGCTTATCAATAATACAAGTGTATAGAAAATGTATAAATAAGTAAATAAAAATATATTTTCAAACTAAATGATTAATGATTATACTCGTTTAAATAAATAAATAATCTTTTTAAAATTACTTGTTTGTCTTTGCAAATTTGTATATTTCATATTTATCTAAAACCGTACCCTTCCCTTAAAATTGCTGCACAACCTTAAAAATTAAGCTTTTAATATGAAATGTTATACAAGTTCTTGATTCGATCCTCATTTAAATAAAATTTTAAATTGATATTCTAAATTTCTGAGACAGCCATTTTGTTGAAAGAATTTGTTTTGATTATGAGAAATTTCATAAAAATTATCACAGGGATTAATTAATCTTATATATTGAACTATTTGGTTTTTAAATTTCACAATCATATCGTCCAAAATACTCTAAATTCGCGAAAATCCCTAAAATATTCCCATAAAAACAAATCACAATTCACTTTCACTTTAGAAACTGACAGACTGGCCAAATATGGAATGACGTTTACTTTTCAATTTATTTTATTAAACTAACTGATCCGGGTCACTTAGAAATTAAATTTTTATTAAATTATTTAATTATATTTTTTTCTGGCGAAAGCAACTTCATACCAATATTTGCTGACAAAGTAACATTTTATATAAATATTTCTATTTTTCAACTACTCCAACTACTCCAATTACTCCAGAAATAATCAAACGAATTCATTAATTAAACTATACTCTGTGGATGACTTGATAAAATCATGATGAAATTAAAGTCCCTAGATATATATCTAGGGACTTTAGATGAAATTTCTACGCAGCGCCATCTATCCCTCTACTGGCAGAAACTCCGCCGTGTTTCCAAAATTCAAATGCCAGTTTCATCCGCCTGGGTTAACCAATCGAAGCCTTTAAATACAACCAATGAAATTAATATCGTATCAACGTATCGTCGGACAACGGATGCATGAAAATCAAGCTTTACTCGGTTATCGAGAACTTATTTGCAAAACGGGAAAAAGAAAATATGTTTCTTTTATTGAGATCTACCAGTCCTGAAAATATCAGCACTTATTTAAGACTCACCCTGTATAATTATATTCTTCCAAAATATACAGGGTGGTCCGAACTGCATTCCGGAAACTTTGGCAGCATATTCTGCGGATAAAAATAAGTAAAAAAGTTCGTATAAATGTATGTAAATATATAAAATGCTTAGTTCATTTTTAGTTTAATATATATAAAATGCTTAGTTTCGAAGATACAGGGTGTAGAAGTTTCATTTTTATTTCGATTTTTCCAATTAATTTCGGAAGTAACGTCAATATTTGAATGAAAATTGGCGTCTGGAAGTTTTTTGACATGAGAAATTTGATTTTGATGTCAATATGACTCCTACTAGTAGAGGGCGCCACCTACATATTTTTAACTGGTTTGAAGAGTAATAACTTTTCGTCCGTATCTGTATAAAACTACTGAGTAAAAAAATATACATTTACGACGTTTTTTACTTGAAAAAGGTCTCTTGGTAAAAATCGCGAGTAATGGTTCTCGAGATATTTGGAATCAAAATTATCAATACCTGTCATCATTGACATAAATTAAACATGTTGACTTAATAGTTATTAGACTGAAATCATAAATTTGAAATGTTTTTGAGCCGAAAGTTCAACAGAAACTGTTTTGCCATCATTTTTTGCAAAAGAATTTATGATTAATTTAACAAAAAATAAAAATTTTACAAATTTATTATTTCAGTGAAATAACTATCTACTCAACGTGTTTATTTTTCGTCAATAATGACATGTATTGTCGATTTCCATTCTAAATATTTTAAGAACGGTTGCTCGTAGCGATTTTTACAAAGAGATATTTTTTACGTAAAAGGTCACAGAGATGTATATTTTTTCGCTCGGTAGTTTTATACAGGTACGGACAAAAAGTTATTACGCTTCAAAACAGTTAAAACACATGTAGGTGGCGCCCTCTACTAGTAGGTGTCATATGGACACCAAAATCAAATTTCTCTTGTCAAAAAAAACCCAGACACGAATTTTCATCCAAATATTGACGTTACTTCAGAAACTATTTAGAAAAAATCGAAATAAAAATGAAACTTCTGCACTCTGTATCTCTGAAAGTAAGCATTTTAGGACATACGTTAATACCAACTTGTTTACTTATTTTTATTTGCAAAATATGCTGCCGAAGTTTCCGGAATACAGTTCAGACCACCCTGTATAACAGAAAGACGACGGCAAACGTTCAGGAAAAAAAACTCAAGAAAATGTAAGATTGGTATTATTGATTAGTTACAGACTGTTGATATAACTTCTTTGAAAGTTTTACATTATCTACCTTCTCTCTCTATAACTTTTTTATTTAAAAAAATGAGATTTTGTATGTTAGTATATGACATAAATTAGCACTGATTGACGCATTCAATTGTTTTCGGTCACTTCCTGTTTCACCGGAAATGAATACAACTTTTGATTTTTAAATGACACCCTCAGTATTTTTTTTACTTTATTCGATAGAAAATGGCACTTTGAATTGAATGGCATATCATATGTCAACTTTTGACATTTTCGCTTAAAAAAATAGTATTTTAAATTTCAATCTAGAGTGCCACGGCTGTGTTAAAATCACTAATTTTTAATTAAGGATAATTGGAAAAATAGATTTGATCCTCTAATGTTTTTCGTCTCTTGCCCTGGCCTCTTAAAAAATGCCCAAATCGCATTTTTAATCATATTTCAATTTTTTCAAATGGAACGAGTGTGGCTCATTGCACATTGCAGTTACATTTATGGCCATGTCACTTTAAATTAAAATTTAAAATGCTATTTTTTTAATTAAAAATATGAAAAATTGACATATGTTATGTCATTTTATTCAGAATGTCATTTTCTATAAAATGAAGTAAAACATACGAAGAGTGTCATTTATAAATACAATATAAAGAGTGTCAATAATAAGAAGGGTATCATTTAAAAATCAAAAGATCATTTTTGGTGTAACAGGGAGCGACCGAAAATAATTGAATACGTCAAATTAATTCTAATTTATGTTTATTGTATATACTTATATACCTCTCTCGTTTTTTTTTTCTGAAAAAATAAAAAGCTATAGGGGTGAGTCACTTGTGAGATGTACCTTTAGCACTTTACTATTGCACTGGACGCACGTTTTACTAATCATGTTAGCATCATGAGCAGATGATTACAACTAAACTAATATCTACAAATTGAACGTTTATATATAGGAGCTCGGTTGGTACTGACAACGCGTGACAAAACTAGACAAACGAGTCGGAACCAATCGGGTGTAACAATTAATTATCAAGACTAGAGCAATAGGGGGAACAGAAAGGAATCTAGAACTGAAAAAAATTGGACCATTATTTCTGTTCACATTATTTTTACATTTATTTATTTAGACCTCAAAGACCAAATTATTTTTTTATTTTCTTCTTGAAATTCTAGAAGTCAAAACACAGTACTGTATGATCGTCATTGCCATTGTGCAACAGATTTTTGAAAGTTTAATCTATATAGATTTCTTGCAACTACAATTATTCGCCTTTTGTTCTAAAGTAGGAAAATATTAGTGTGCAGGTAAATTCTGGAGGAATCGGGTTGTTAATTGTCGTCAGGCAGAGAATGTCACCCTTTATTTTCTATCCTCAAGTTGTAGGCACCAGTCTTTACTGGATTTAATGGTATACCTGCAAATTATTCTGAAAAAAGTATCTGATGTTGGTGTAGAAGAAGACGGAGAATTGCGGAGAAACCAAATTTAGA